TTTTGGGATTTTAGATACAGATAATATAAGCATTCTAGTTAACTACATCCTTCTTGAAAGTAAATATTTTATTTACTGCTGTAAGTTAAATAAGGGCTCTTTATGTATAAGACTGTTAGTCGATAAATGTAAAAAAAACGTTTCAAACCAAGCGTTTTATCGCTAAAAGAAAACAACGAACTCCATTTCCACGATAAAAAATGGAAACCTTTACTCCCACTAATACAACAGTAGCTGTTATCCAAACATCGTTTGTCTTAGATTCCCTCCATTAGTGTATATTTTAAGTTCAAGTTGAATAAGTTATGTAATCCTTGTAGTAGTGCTGTGTAGGGTTTTTTTTCTTTGTAGTTTGTAATTAAGGTAATTGTTGTAAATTTTGTAATGTTTGTACGTATCGATCTGTATGTTCTTGTACTATACCTGTAAAAGAAAATAAATAAAAAAAAAAGTAGTCTTGTCTTTAAGTGTTTTTGTACTAATTTTGGAAATCTTTGTTTTAAATTTGCTCTGGTGTTACACTTTTTGCACTGGTGACGTTATACTTGAACTGCACTGCTCCTACGTAGTCCCAATACATCAAGTAATTTTTAAGTGTATTATTACTAACACCTTTAACTGGCTAGTGGGGACTCCCACACAGGCCAAGACCTCAGCTTGCACAGTCCTTTGAATCATATTTAAAAAGAAGACCTACCTTTTGCCATGTATAAGGCAGAGGCTGCTTTTTCCAGTGTAATAATATTTACATGTAGTAAGCTTCAAAAGAGTTCAGATCAATATTTACACTTGTTCATCTTCCAGATTTATTTAATATATTACATTGCTAATCAGTGTTCTATGAATGAACGTCCCTTAATATAATTATGCACTGGCTCACTTAACAGAAACTTAATTCAAAGAGTTCACAAGTGGTTTGGAAAAGAATGGACTTCTGTGGATTGGAAGCAGTTCATTGCTGAAGATACTCCCAAGCAATGTAATTCATTTGATTGTAGAATTTTCTTACTGAAGGTAAAGTAACGCATAGTTGACAATAGGTATTATAAATAATTAATAGATGGCTGTTTCATTCCTTGAAGGCTTTAATTGTCAATAAGATGCAACTACCAGTACATGTACCCGTATCTATTTCATACGTCATGTAACTTGCGAAAATCAAGTTAACTTATTATTTTAAGCATCAGCACTTAACCTACAGTGGTTGCACACTCTGTTTATTGCATCGATAACGATATGATACGATACTTTATTTAACGTGGAATTTACGCTTAGCTAATCAGCGAGTTTACAGGTAATCCATGCCCCTAGTGTATTCTATAAATTAAACCTAAAAATGTACTATAATTGATGATCATATAAAACTCTAAACACAGACAACTAAAAGTCGAGAGAATCAAAATTAATTACAATAAATTGCGATATCAGTCAAACTTAAGCGATCAAATTTTGCTTTTCACTTCATTAGTGCCTACTTTACTTCTAGTATCATTTGTTAGTTCGTTCCATTTCTTTGCGGCAAAATTTTTGTTTTTCAATGTTGCCTTTTACGGAAGTGTTTTTAACAACATAATTATTTTGTGTTATCAGATATTAGTCATCTTTAGTTAATAAAAATGGGTCCCCACAAGCTTTCATGGAGCCAAAAAATACTTTCAGATGGGTTAATTCACTTGTTATCTGATTGGCACAGAGCTGAACAAGCCCTTCCTTCAAAGTTTGCAATTTATCCTAGGGCTTCACATAATTATAGTTACAACCAAACTTTATATGGAACGACATATATGTGTAAACTTACATATTGGTGGCTACTCAGTCAGGATGTATATGAAATCTTGGCTACAGCACTCAGCACTCATTACTCGGGCTTCCGTAGGAGAGCCCAAAACAACAAGAACGTTTATTTTTATACGCGGTCGAAAGCTTATGTAAAGCAAGCTTACCTTCGATGTAGAAGATATTTTGCAAATTCGCTACCCGTGAACTTCCCCAGAATGTCTTTCCTCTCTCTCCAAAGATTAAATACGGACTGGCGAAGACGAATATACTTAGCGGAACCCGGTAAACGGGGCCTTCCAACACGCGCAGTTCTCTCCTTATCCGCCATTACTGATCTCAGTCACGCCACAGCTAGATGCTCACACAAAATGATC